TCACTAATACAGTCTAAGTGCATTTAGACGAAACCAAGCTCAAATTTTATTTTGAATGGATAATTATTGATTACAAGTCTTTTGCAATGTATGTAAGGCAAAGAAAAACTGCCTTTTTTTTCCTTGACCATTAGATCAAAGAGGGTATAGAAAGTTTTTGTCTACATTCTGTTTGTGTATATATAACGTAATTTATACCATAGACACCTGTAATATAACAAAAAATATGACACTGTAATTAAATACAGTAATAAATCTAAATATGACACTGTAACCGATGGACACAAAGATATGTTTGTATGCCTTTAGTCGAAAACTCAAAGCGCCGAAAAACACAGAATGTATAAGACCGAAACAAAGAATCTTGAAAACCTGAAATGTAGAAAACAAAAATGTAGAAAATGCAGAATGTCGATGCTAAAAACAACGGAAATGTGAGTTTTGAAATTGGACTGGGATCTCCAAAACGCTTCTTGTTCATAGTTCTATCGGAAGATCTACATATCTTTTGTGCACATTTCCATTTTATTCAAATGGCGTGTTCGTAAAATTCACAGGTGATCATCAGCATTTGTCCAGAGAATATTGAACTTCGACAGTTAAACAAAAAGCGGAAACACGAACGCTCAACGAATTCATTGAAAGATGTAGAATCTCATCTTCGCTATTCGGTCCGACAACAAGCAGCTACCAAAACCAGAATGAAGCATTTTGGAGATACCAGTTCAATTTCAAAACTCCCACTTCCATTGTTTTTAACGTTCGACATTCTGCATTTTCTACATTTTGCACTTTCGACATTTTTGTTCTCTACATATCAGATTTTCGAGATTCTTCGTTTCGATCTTATGCATTCTACGTTTTCGCTTTCCATCTTTGAGTTTTCGAGATTCGGCTATACATTCTGTCCAAAGTTGGATGGGTTTTTGTTATTATCGTTTTAAACAAGATAAGTGAAAAAATAGTCTGTCTTTTATATGCAACACACTATTTTCAAATCTGCTTTAGGTTTATAAACTATAACAAGTATTGAGTTTCATAAAAGAAAATGAGCACACTTTCTATGAGTGTTCTTATGACCAAGTGAGGATTTTCTGCATGAGAAAGATAAAGAAATTAAACTGATGGTGTTCATTTTCAGCTCACCCTTTAACTGAGCCCGAAGTGTACCCTGTTCCGAAGAAAAAACTGGGTAAAACATGGTGAAATCGAAGTCTTAACCATCTCAGTAAACGTTCTTCGGAGAGACACATTTGAGAAATTTTCAACAGATGTAAAGCGATTCACTGCAACGTTATGGTGCTATTTTTGTTCAAATGTGCCCATTGTCGTCAATGAGTTTTGTTTGCTAACAGAAATGGACTATTTAAAATTTTTAGCAAAAAGCTTTTATCGTGAATTAAGCCCGAGAACTTAAGTCTGTCTTAGCTAAGACAATCATCTATACTTAATCCTTGGCTTAAGGTTTTTTCTACAATGACCTCTATGACCCGGGATATCATTCTAAAACATGAAAATAAAAAAATAAAAGTTCAAAATTAGAAAAAGTTCAAAAAAGGAATTCAAAATCAGAAAATCAGAATACTTTAGACGAAAAAACAGCAGAAACGTAAAACTTCCAAAAATCAGAATTTTTCTGCCAAAATCCGACGATCTGGGATCCTTGTTCAGGACCGAAAAATAGATGCAAAGCCATTGCAGAGATATAATGCAATGTAAATTTTATGTATAAAGCGAAAGCTCATAAAAGCATCCGTCTCAAATATTGTGTAAAGTCATATGCAGAAGATTATGTTCTGTCCGTTTGACTAAATTTTCATGCTGAAAGAACAATCAAAAAATTTTTAAAAAACAAAGTCTACTTATTAAAGGAGTAAATCATGGAGTGTTTCCTGATTGGTCAATTTCAATCATTGTATCTTATCTTGTGTAGGCCTATTTTGCCAGTGTTCATAGTGCATAGATCATTTATACTATTTTTGTACAGCGAGAGAAAATATGATTTTGCTATTCTTAGTGTATGTAACTCAGGTGAACAGACATTATTTTCGCAGCGTGCTTTTGGTATATGTACCATTCTTTCAAGTATCAATCTTTTTATCTATCAGAACTAGCCATAGAAAAATGAAAATAATGGTTGAGTAATCATCTGCTTTTTCACTTACTACATGTAAGCTGACTGAAGAAAATCAAATAGACAAAATCTATTTACGGAGATCGACTGATAACCATGTATTATGACATCACCTTTCTGATGTAACTGTATGAATATCATATAGTAATTTTGTTGTGGTTGTATGGCGTTTTATCGGAAGCGCGTAGTGAAGAAAAATAAGAAAAGAAAAAAGCACATAAAGCACCTTCCTTCTCATACGAACAAAAATATAGACGCTCTATAGAATAACATACTGCTTTATTTGACTTTATGTTTTTCTTTTTATTGTTGTGTGAGGAAGAAATAATTGCTGAGAGATGTGTCAGACGTAGATGACATTTTAAAAGTTTTTTAATTATTATTTTCAGATATCCTATATAGATTCGTTATTATTAAAAATCTAAAAATGAGTATTCTATACTATTCGTTCATCAATCCAACATTTGCTAATTTTACGTTTTATTCAACGGCCAGTGTTTTGAAAATGATGGGACTGTCTGTTTTCACAATCGCAAGACGTTTTTCAAGCAATGCATTTGCTAATAATGAAGATTTAGCTTTAGGTGGTCCAAAAGCAACATTAACATTGGCAGATCCGGACGTTGAACGAGTAAGACGGTAAGTTATAGATACAATGATCAAATTACAGATATTTATTTTAAACGTTCCTTCTAGCAATCATTTAAACGATCTCGAGAACATTGTTCCATTTGTCTTGGTTGGATTTTTTTATGTGGCTACGAATCCAGATTCAAATGTGGCATTATGGCATTTTAGAGTATTTTTTGCATCTCGTCTATTACATACAATTTCTTACCAGGTATGTTTTTTCCTGGCTCATAGGTTTTTTCATTCAACCATCACATAGTTCAATTTCTTTATCTTAGGTACCATTCCCGCAACCAACTCGTGTATTACTGTGGGGTGCTGGATTTGCCGCTACAATCTCGATGGCTGTTCATGTTTTACAAGCAATAACATTAAAATAAACAGATATAGATCATTAGAAAGAATAGAACAATCAAGAAATTTTTGTGTTTTTTATTTCAAGACCGTATTTTCTCCATGCCTTTTTTAAACTACTTTTTGTATTGTGTTTGTGTAATTTTTTTCATTATGCCCTATTAAAAATAGAAGACAATTTCTTAAGTAAATAAGACTTCCTTACCGGTGTTGTAAATTGTTTTCAGTTTTATTTGTTTGTTTACAAATGAAACTTTCTTTTCCCTCTGATAAAGATTGAGAAGGAAACACAAGAAAACACTTACAGAATCTGACGTCAAATAAAATAAGACATGATCTCGTTTATAAAAATAAGTGAATGACTAAAAAATGAAAACTTATGCTGAAGAAATACTGTTAAATTCTTGCATTGTTGTTCTGGAAGTTACCGTTTTTCACAGATAAAAGAAAACTTCTCGATTTATAATACTCAAAGAACTTCTTTTAAATAGTATTACTATTGATATAGTCTTGGAGATGAAGATTGCTCAAGATAAAATGTATGTGATAAGGCTATATTTTTCAATCAATATATGGCGCACAGTGGGTATTTTTCCATAGAGCAGGCGGACATCTGTTTTTTTTGAGTTAAAAAATGATTATTTTCGCGTAGTATGGTATCATTATGCGTCAGATATTAATAAAACTAAAAAAACTGGGAAAAAACAACCAAAAAAACAAACCAACTCTTTTTCGATAAAAAATTGCTTAGGACGAGGGACCCTTGTCGTGAATTCTTGTCGAAATATATTTTATTTGTAAAATTAATAAATTATACATTATTCGATGCAGTTTTTTATACCGATCCCAAATACTACATTAATTTTCAATAAAAGTGTTTCTCGGCTGAGAAAAATGGAAAGTATATTAAAACCCAGAGTTTTAAGGAAAAACCTATAACTCGACTTTGATAAATATATACATCCACATTAGATGCAGGACCGAATTGGTCTTCGACGCTATTTGAATTTTGAAAAGGCGTATTTTCGTTTTTTGCCAAATGTCTGCATAGATGCCCACTGTGTGGCGCCCTCTCTTGTGTTGATGTCCTTGCTTCGTCCCAAGAAAAAAGAAATTTATTTTAAAAACCTCGTACTGGATTAAAAAAGCCAAGAACATGATTTTGAAAAATACCATAAAACTTTTAAATAGTATAGAGAATATTCTATGACTATAACAAAAACTGAAAATGGACGAACCGTTTTAAAGACAGCTCTAAACTACAGCGATATAAACTGTACGTACAAGGGAAGTATGAATTAAAGTATGACGGACTCACAAGATTCTTCTTCAAGTTTAACAGATGTTGAAAATGAAGATAATGAAGTTTTGAATGATGAAGAAGTGGACGACGATGAGGAAAATCGCCAATACACTGCTCGAGATAATGCTGATGATGAATTTGTACTGTTTTCTGCTCGTATACCGTTGAAAGAAAATACACCACCGAGTGATTTACAAGCAACTCACGTGAATCATTATCATGATTTAGAACGTGTACATGAAAAATCAAAAGATTTTTCTCTTACTCGACCATCAACAAATTGGTTAGCGTCAAATGGTTTGCCAGCATTGAATTTAACACTGAAAGATTTGTTAGATAAAGGTCAGATATCGCGACCAGTGGGTGATAAAACTGGTCGCGCTGTTCAACACATTACATTCGACGCGTTAACAATCAATGATTTTGAATGTCGTTTACATACAGCAATAGAAACATTATCAAACCGTATCAAATGGTTATTACAAAATAGTCGAAAAATATTCGGTGTTGTTCAAGGTTCAAAAACGCTTGTCGTATTGGATTTTAGTCAGAGTAACGCAAGTTTTGGTCGAGGAGAAGAATATCGGAAAAATTTGCTACAATTAATTGATGAGCAACTAAGTAAAAAACAACAACTGGGGTTTCTTGCCTATGGTACAGAGGTAGATGCATTATGGAAAGGTTTAAGAGATGTAAATGCAAGATCATTAGATGAATTAAGAATGTGGATAGCCGCACTCCATGACTCATTTGGTTGTAGTGAAAATTGTACACATATGGAAACGACGTGTGATAGATCTACCGGGAAAAAATGTGCTTTTAAATCAAATGGTGGAAGTAATTTATTAAAAGGCAAGCAATTTTTCTCATCGATAACAATGTTCAATTGAAATCGCCTTTACTTCTATGCTTTAGCACTCCGTCGTGTCGAAATGATTTCTGACTATGACACGTTATTATTAATAGTTGGCTCTTTACCAGATCAAAATATTGATATTATTGCCGATTTTACAGCGCAAATCATTACTGGTTTAGATAAGCCTCGTTTACACGCTGTCTCATACGATTGCAACCATCATCTGGTTAGTTCACTTTTGAAAACAATCACATCACCAGCAGAAAAAAGTGCTATTGTGAAACCAACAAATTTAACTACCACAAATAATACTAGGTTTGTTGATAACTTTTTGATTTATCATGATTAACTCATTTTATATTTAGTTTGACTCAAATTGAGAATAACGATTTATTAGAAGCAAGACATACATATCATTGTTATTCTCGCGATGAACCACATCAAATATATGCGAGTACAGATATTCGATTACTTGTTCAAGAAATTCAGCGTGCACACGAGTTGTTGCAACGTATAAATGAAATGCGTCGTGGTGCACTTGGTTCAGCGTTAATTAGCATTGAAAACGAATTAACGTTAGAAATAGCACGATATCCACAATCAAAGTTTTTACCAAGACCACCAAATCATGAGCAAGCGTTGAGATTTCCTCAATCTTATATTACTGCCTCACCGATATTATATAGTAAACAACGAGGTTCATCGGGTCATAGTAATTCTGGCAGTGGTAAACAATATCAATCACCTACTCGTGAGCGATCGAATGAACGACAAGCAAAATCAGTTGTTCGTTTTAACGATAGTGTGAGTGTTGCTGAGATACAATCCACAGCTGAGACAACTACTCGTCGTCGCTCCCATGCGTCTACTATTAGTCAATTTTCTTCACATAAATCAGTTGCTACAACTGTAAAACAACGAAAGCAAATTGCACAAATGCCCGCGATGCCAAGCAATAATCCTGTCATTTATCGTACTTCAGCTGATTGGTTAAGACAAGTTAGTATAACAATATTCTATCGTTTGTTCTTTACTTTAAAAACAATTTTTCTTTTAGCATGGTTTATTAGCAAAAAAATTAACATTATTTCAAGTATTGGCACCCAATGCATACTCAACATGTGAAGATTTTATCCCAATTTTAGGCAAAACCGTTCAATCACAAGTGCTTGAACGGGCCATGGTGCCCGTTGACTGGCACGATGGTACTGTAAAAAATGTTCATGTCGATTTATCTGGTCTTTATGAATATCAAAAACGATTAAAAGCTATTGTTGAATTATATGAACATCGTATTGAGTGGTTATGTTCATCATCGCGAAAAATATTTGGTACAATTGTAGAAAATAATGTTATATTATTAGTTGATTGTTCTTTAGCAAATAGAGATTATATAATTCATATACAACATTCATTACGTATTCTACTTGAACAACAAATGTTTGGTAGATCTTTTTTTAATATAATTGCATTTGGTTGTGATTATGAAGATCGTAAACAAACGAATCGAAGTGGTTTTATACGATATAAACCGACAATGGTTCAACCAACAATTGAAAATTTACAAAATGCATGGGAATGGGTAAGTTAGTAGGCTTTTTTTTAATTAATTAATTAAATATTATTTTTGTAGGTATTGAAACTAAATTGTACGGGAACAAGAAATTTATTGTGTGCATTGAGATCAATCTATGAAAATGAAGAAGAGAGAAAACATGGTTTGTATCCTGATGGCATATATCTGTTAACAAGTGGTGTACCCGATCAACCGTTGGATGTTTGTTGTGCCTATGTAGAAGAGTCAAATGTAGGAAAATCCATATCATTACATACCATTTTGTTTAATATCGATGATTATATTGAAACATCAAATAATTTGGAATCAACATGTTTTCCAGGACGTTGGGCTACGGCTACAAAAACAGCTGAATTTATGAGAGCTTTGGCTAAATGTTCTGGTGGACGATTTTTATGGTTTCGTGAGACAGGTATTATTGAAAGTGATGATTTAAAATTATTACAAAATGAAATTGAAAAAGCTTGCCAATATTCGGAGCAAGCAGCAAATCTCGTTGATATTATCAAATCAAAAAGGCGATTAAAAAATGATAATAATAATAGTATTGAACAAAAATCCAATGATGATGATGTAGCAAAAAAATTTAGCAATGGACCACTGGTAGTAAGACAAACAGCATTGAGTGCAGCTCGACAACAGTTACATGACAATAATATTGGTAACGAAGATAATATGAAAATTTTACCTTGGCGACCTACAAATACGACAAATCGAAGTTTAATACCCGAATGGCCGGATGAGAATTATCGTTTAAAAGAAGAAAATTCATTTAATTCAACACCAAATCCGAAACGAAATAAGTAAGAAGATTATTGATCTTATGAACAGATCTATATGTTTATATTTTTTTAGATCTCGATCAGATATTTTATCATCAAAACAAGAATCATTTTATGTTGATGGACAAACAAATGCAAAATTTAGCATAATGAAAAATGATTCTACAGCATCATCCACATCAAATACGAAGAAATCAAAATCTGTAAGAAAATATTGTCCAAGTAATCTACTTCTTATACCGTCAAGTGATGAAAATGAAACAACTCATTCTTGGCTAAGAAAATATTCGCTCGCTCGTTTAAAACTTGATCTACACAAAATGGTTTCTGGTCCAGAATGTAAATCTATTCTTATTTATATTGTTACTAATTCTTATAGATTTTGAATTTTTATAGGTCGACATGATACAATAGCTGTGCCAAATATCAAATTGACATCATCTGCTCGTTATTGTGCTGTTTTTCCGAGTATTAATCTAAAAGGAAGTATTAGACATTTACAATTGCGTCCAAGAGAATTAGATGATTATCGTCAAAGATGTGAATATGTATTAAAACGTTATTTTAAACGAATGCAATGGTTACTAAGTGGTAGTCGATTAACATTTTGTAAGTAGAACTAACTTATTTACTTCAATTTTTTCTCACTCTTAGATTATCTATTTTTTAGCCACTATTGTTCATAAGAAAATATTATTTTTAATTGATACCAGTGGTTCCATGGAGACATGTATTGATCATCTGAAAAAAGAATTAGCCGCATTAATATGGGATCAATTTTATTCAGAACAAATAGAATTTAATCTCATACAATTTTCTGACAATTATCAACAATGGCGTGATGGTGGATTGTTGTTAGCTACTGAAGAAAATTGTCATGATGCTGTAGCTTGGATAAGTACGCTGAAACCAAGTGGTAATACATGTACAGATCGTGTGTTAAAATATGTCTTTGAATTCAATAATCAATTTCCAATTGAAGCTATTTATTATGTATCCGATGGAAAACCTGATCATAGTACAAGTTATGTTTTAGAACAAGTAAAATTAATGAATACAATTCCAAAATCGGTGTCAATTAATGAAAATAATACGTTAACAAACACAAAGAAGATATCAATAAATACAATATCATTCAATTGCCAGGATGTGGCCGCTAATAATTTTCTCAAAACACTTGCGCATGAGAACAATGGACGTTATCATCGTCTCACCATTAATTCAAGAGATGTACATTTATTTATTCATCGTTTACAACAAGATAAAACGTATGATTTAGAAATGGATTCGAGTCTATTACCAGAATTAGATGGTGATGATCTTAAGAGATTATTAAAAGAAATGGAAAAGGCACGACTCTTCTTGAAACAAGCGATTACCTTTCGATCATTATATGATCAACAACAATTGCAAAATGAAAATACTTTGACATCATCAAGAAACGAAGATTTAATTGTTGGACCAGCACGCGTACCGTCAGATGCATGTTTTACTAAAAAGTCATCAACAACAAATCTACAATCATCATTTAAAAATTGACACTCGTTATTTAAGCCTTATTAGCAGCGTTTCAGTCACTATGACTGATGTAAATGCATTTAAGGTCAGAAGTTTTCAGCATTTATATTCTATAATTCGGTGCTTACCAAAAGTAGTATCATACGGTTGAACTCAGAAGGTGAGGATTATATGTGAGCACAGTTTAAAGTTTAAACATATCATTGTTATGTAGTGAAAGTATTGAATATTATTATAAATAGTCCATTATTTGAAAGTGAAAGATGCGTTTGGATTTTTCTATACGATGTTCTCATCTTACACAAGTTTCATTATCATTAAAGTTTATAGAAACGCTTTTTATTGCATTTTTCTCTATATTCGTTTCGTCATAGAATCTGTCAAAAACAGTTATGAGTGTCTTTTTGTGATTTATGGGCTGCTTTTTTTTTTATCGATGCTTTAATCGTTTGAATTTTTTACACTCAATGTGTATATCTGTTTTTCTGCAGTTTTCTGCGGATTTTCTATTTTTTACAAAACGCAACTAGTTTTGTACATTTTAGATTTGTAACTGTTTTTCGATTGAACACTGCTGTTTGTAAAACATTTTTCTACTATGTTAAGAGGGCACAAATTTATGAACTGATTATCGTTCAGTGATGACGAAGTTTACAGTAATATTAAATTTCTTTAGTCATGTTTTATATAAAACTTTAATTCATCCTAAGTTTTTGAATGCAATCTTTTTATTGATACTTTCAAGCAACATAACAGACGACCAATGTTTCTAATAACAAAATGAGTGCCAAGCCATTTTTAGAGCGCCAGCAGTGAGTGCGCTCATCATTCTGTTATCACACTTAGCGAATAAATAACCTGAAAAAGAATGTTACACTTTATTGGTATCACAATTTTGACTATGATGGGTTATAAAGTTAAAAACTCACTTCGCTACTGCATACGTGAATCGTTGAAAAAATAAGTCATACTTAAGTCGAGATGAAAAAAAGTAAAGGTCCACAAGATAAGTTCGGAATGGACAGTTTAGTCCCAATCAGAAATTGTAAAAATGAAGAATGCCGCCGATGACTTATTCTATTATATAAAACAGGACAAGCAGCGGCGTCTACCCCCTCCTGAATATCTGAGGCATTTTGTACCACCTCCGAGGTTCGATCTCTCAGTGTACCACCTGAAAAATGAATGTCTAAAGCAAAAAAGCGTACCACCTTAGTTTATTTGTGGCATTGCGCCTCAAACGTCCCACAAAATAGACGCCTCTGAGGACCAGGCTAAAAATGTTACTATGCAACATAAATTAAAGTACACAAACTTAGTAGGATCTATCTGTTACATAGTTGGTGGCATGATCTATTTTAACAAAATCAAGCGGGACGAGCACATCAAAAGGTTCTTCTCTCACAGCACATTTTCGTAACAAATTCCAGTAACTGAATCCAGGAAACAGATTATGATACGCATCTCATGTCGTAATCCATTAAGACGCTCAGACTCGATTAGCCTTGATTCGACCGCCTATAATATGCCCAAATTCTCCCGCTTTCATTTGGATACTGCCTGAACACAACGGTTAGATTTTATCGCTTCACTTTATATTCCACCGAATGACAACAGGATGTAGTATCAATATAAACTGATTATATCCACTCATTATTTATCTGGCAGAGCAGTTAGGCATATCTTCAAAGCACTCGTTTTCGTCTGGGGTCCGCACGGATCCCAGGTGGACGGATCAGGTTAATTTTAAGGATAGCTGCTAAATCACGTCTATATCGACTTTTACCTTTAGTATTGTTTATTGTTTTATTACTTTATTGTATATATTTTGCTTTACCTGTCGCTGGTTAAGTGTCTGTTACATTTATTTTTAAGAAGAAGGAAACACATGGCTTTTCCTTTCTTTTTACTCGTACTACAAGAACCAGCACAGAAAAAACTTAACTCAGATAATAAAGCTGAGATACGTCCAAGTAGAGAACGATTTGACAACAGTTTTATGGCTGGTGCCTACTGAAGACTTATACTGAAATCACTCTGCGTTTTTAGAGCAAAGTGGTTCAGTCTACTTTGATTGCAAGTTTCATTTAGAAATGCTGTAAATTGTCATTCGGTGATCATAGGTCAAACATTTTGCATTTTTCTTTTTCTTTCTTTTGTTCCATCTACTGCATCCTTATCTACTGCGTTTATACGTCAAGTCATCGAATCTATAAAGACTTTTTTATCCTATTGTCATGTGTATTTCACTTCGACAGGTCAAATTACCATTAGAAGTACTGATAACGACGGGAAATAATATCATTCTTGATTTTCCAATAGAATTGCTTACTTAGGGACGAGTAAATGTATCCAAAGTTCAATTTTTTTACCAATTCAGACAGACAGAAGTGCTGTCAGACTTTTCACATCCAACTACGTTTGTCGCTAAATCCTGGAATTGTAGTTTTAGATGTTGAATAATGAGCCCATTAACCATCGGTGAATGAACACATTATGTCTCTCGTACCAGTTCTTATCAATCATTATTTAAACGATCCATCTCGACATTTATATTTATCAGTTATCAAAGGACTACGAAATGGAATTGTATACGGCGCAAAAGTTCGTTTTGCTCATTCCGTTGTTCAGTCAATCTTATTTCGTAATGAACCATGGAAGAACCGTTTACAATTTATTATTCGTATGACATATTTGCATGCAAAAACTTTGGGCCTATTTGTTTTTCTATACAAAGCATTGCGATCGATTTTCACCTATGTTTTCCGTTTAAGAAAACCATGGCGATCATTTATAGCAGCATTTATTGTCGGCTATTTTGTATTTAATGAACACAATAGTGTTAATGAACAAATTATTCTCTATTTATTGTCACGAATAACAGTAGGATTTGCGAGATATTTACAAAAACGTTCATTATTGCCTAAAACTCAACGACCATTGTTTCCTTGGTTTGCGGCATTTATTTGGGGAGTTGTTTTGTGGTTATTTGAATCACACCGCGAAACATTACAGCCTTCGTTACGTAGTTCAATGACATATTTATATGATAATAGCAATCATTGGACATCATGGAAAGATTTTATTGTCTACGATAAAATCAATTAGATACAATCTTTTTTTCTCGTGATTCATTTTTAAAAACACTATTTTTCTTGTCACCTATGTCACATTTACAAAATTAAGTATTCAAAAACAAGAAATGTCACAAGTTATAAAGATATACTCGATGAATAAACAATTCTGAGTTAATGGAAGAGTAACAAAAATTTCTAAAACTTTAGAAATTTTTTTCGACTTTTGCGAAAAGGTCATGGATAGCTGAGAATGATCTCGAATTCAAGAGCATACTTTATTAAAACGATATGGCTAATTCAAAATCCAATTTAGCTGTTTAAAAATGAGGATACATCTGCACATAACTAGCATCCTAGTACCAATGAAAAATTCACTGTACAAAACCGTTGTGAATGAAACTTTAATGCATTTTCATTAACCAAACTCTTTTCAAAAGTTTTATTAATCAGTGATTTTCGATAAATATAAGTCATTATACAGTTCAAACATAGTTTTAATGGTTTTCATCATCAAACACTCCTGATGTCTAACAACAGATATGGTCATTCTTTTTTTTTAATGAGTATTTATGTTGTATACATGTGATTCGACGTCACTGGACCTACTCTTATATATTCGATAATTAATACAATATAACAGACTGAACCGATCATAAATCAATTACGCAGTGCATATTCTATGTGAAATTGCTAATGATGAATTCTTTTTAAGCACACCAATTAGTAATTATTGCATATAAAGAGACTAGCCAACAGTTCGAACATTTGGTCAACATTTTAAATAGCTTAAATTCATTCTGGAGTCCATTTTTAAGTTAAAACAATCAATTCTAATATCGTATTTTAATAATATATATTATGTTCTGATATAATGGATGAGACAACAAACACAAATTAAACAGTTACAATGATAATAATCAAATTCATCGTCGTTGTTTTGTTTCATCCAGAAAGTACGCAAATTATTGAATAAATTTAACAAGAACATCTTTTTGATAATAACATCTGTGATTATATAAAGTAAACATCGAACTTTGAAGCAATAATATTGGTGAGATATTTTTCGCATATTGTGTGTAATATTCGAAGGAGAAACAGCTGATTTTTGGATTTTCACCGATTTTGCTGATTTTCATCGATTTTCACCAAATGAAAAGTCATCGGAGATGACTGGGAGTTATTTAAAATCACAGAAAATTACAGAGGATTACTGAAAATCAGTGAAAATCAATTGATTTTGGGTGATTTTCGACTTATTTTGGGCTTATTTCAGTCTGCTATTTCCCCCTTGATAATATCAGATGTTGAAATACATCGAGCACTTAACGAAAGTTTCGTAGACTTAATCAGACATTAGTTGAAATCCCGCCGATTCTTAAATAAGAATTAGTTCTTCTAAGATACGTAACCGGTTTAGATATAGAACATGTCGTGTTGTTGAATTAACAAACGACACTTTTATTAAGCATAATATGATGACTCATTCAACATCCAAAAGATCAGATTCAATATCACCCTATTTGTCAAGCCATTTAACTTTTCCAGATCAGCACATCCAACGCTCATCATCCGTTGTACAACATCAAAGTGTTCCCCAGAATAAATAGTACAAGTCAATTAACTCAATATCGGCTCATAATGGAAAGACTGTTTATTGCCAGTAGACAAGAACCACACATGCTATCTGATTATCCTTATCAGAATGCGTCAAACGTAGCACCGGTAAATCAAATACAAGCGATTCAATCATCATCGTATCTATATCGGTCTGTTCCAGATAACAGTAGTACTGTTATAGAAAGTAATTCGATACGTTCCATTGATAGTACTACTCTGAATGATGATAAAATAAAAAAATTCGAAGTCTCTTGTCCACATATTACGCCTGATCTTATCGAACTATTACGTTTTCTTCGCGGAAATAATATGAAAAAAACAGAAGATTGTTTGAGAAAAGAATTTAAAAATCTTGTTGAAAATATTACCTCTCCTTCAAAGTTTCCATTACGTTGTTATACAAGACCGCACGATTATTTTGAAGTTTATCAATTAATAGTAACATTTATTTTGTCAAATATAATGTCATCGACTTCTGCCAATAATGAATTATTGCAATTACTGTTTCCACTATTCGTTCATTTCTATATTGATCTCATCGAACAACAGTATCTAGAAGAAAGTGAGCAATTTTTCAATAAATATACAACTTATTTTATACCCTATTATATCGAATTTCTATTACAATTACGAGTTATCAAACATTCATCACATATTTTGCGTAATTCTCTGACATATGCATTACGTTCAAGTCGATTTCTAATATATTTATCATTGACGACATGTAATGTATTACAAAAGTTTATTGAATCCTTAATATTACAGCATCATTATGGATACAAATCACAATTTACACCATTGACACAGCAACAAACATCGTTATTATTATCAATTTTTCAAACATATTTAAAAATTGATATCAAGAAGCAAATGTGGAAGCCAGTGAATGTTGTTCGATTTCCAGTATCAGATATAAAACAGTCTACTAATAATAATATAGATAAAGACGGTCAAAAACAAAGAATTGATTGGAACAATGTGCAAATACCAGTCTTTGTGCAACATCATCTAACACACAATTTTCAATTATCAAGATTATTTACAGGAGTTTTTACCACACTAACACGATCAAATGATGAAGGTAAAATTGTTACATCATTTTTTGAGAATAAAATCAATTTTCTATTATCTTTTTAGAAATCAGTCAAAAACGACAAGTAAACGAGTTTTCATTGGATAAACCGAAACGCCTATCTCAGAAAAAGCTGTTATTACAGTCAAAATATCAATCAAATATTCCACCTATACAACGTGTACCATTACCTGAAAATAAATTACCAATATCAACTGAAGACAAATCGAATAATGTCAATGTACCACGATTCAGTTCAACTCAATTGCCATCAATTTGTATGTTTACAGTTAAGAATAGTATTAATCAAGTCAATTGCATTACATTCTCGGACGATTGTATGCTAATTGCTATTGGTTTTCACTCTGCAAAAATTTTGATTTGTTCAATTGGCTCAACAAAATTAAAAATATTAAAATGTTCACAAACACTAAATTCTATCCTGAATAATTCTACTCTTTTAAGTGGTTTACTGTATGGAAATTTGGATATTAATGAAATATCATTGGAAAAATATGGCGAGAAAAGTGAAATCTGTTTAATTGGTCATTGTGGACCGATTTACGCTGTTAGATTTGAACCAGTAAAACAATCATATTTACTATCGGGTTCGCAAGATTGTACAATTCGTTTATGGAGTTTACTGACGTGGACATGCTTGTTAGTTTATAAACAACATATTCAAGCTGTAATCGATATTCAGTTTGCTCCTTATGGTCACTATTTTGCATCGTGTGGAGCTGATGGTCTGGCTTGTATTTGGGTTACTGATAAAGCAACACCTGTGCGTGTTTATCCCGAACATGGTCAAATTTATTGCGTACAATTTCACCCTAATGGAAATTATTTTGCAGCAGCTTGTCATACGAATTCAATTCGCTTATGGGACATAGTACAATGTGATAATAATTCATTAGTTCGTCTATTCAATGGTCATCAAAAACAAATATCCGTTTTAAAATTTTCATCGTGTGGACGATTACTCGTATCGGGAAGTTACGATTGTTCTGTTATTCTGTGGGATATACAAGATTCTGTTATGATCGCAAATTTATCAGCACATACGGATGCTATTATCGCATTACAATTCAGTATTACTGGCAATTTGTTAATAACAGGTGGAATAGATTATACAATTAACATTTGGGATTTTATACAAATCATAAACATATACAATGAAAAAATTAATGATGAATCATATTCAGACGAATTAACAAAAACTAAGAACAACGATAATATAACTGCACAATCTCATATAAAACTGGCTAGTTTTCAAACAAAAGAGACGCCCATATTTGATCTTCATGTTAGCAAACAAAATATTTTATACGCTATAGGACCAATATTATCAAATTAATATTTTTAACGAAGAAACTTTATTCAAATATTCAATTGTTTACCTTCGGAATATGTTTTATTATAGATATTGTTGATGTTAATCACAAATCGAATATTCTTTTCTCCTCTTTTGTGTGGATCTTTAGAAAAACATACTTAGTTCAATATCGACTATATTTTTAGCTCTTTTCAATGAAGTGTGCGTTTCTCAGTAACGTTAGAAAATCTGAAGAAACATGTCAGAAAATTTTGCTTATTTATTAACTTTTAAACAAAAAAAAATTATTGAATTACGTCGAATCGTTCCTTAGATTTATACACTTTACTAAGTGAAAAACCTGCTTTGAGAAAAATGTGAAAGACGTAAAGAACTTTATCGGGCGAACTGTGAGGGAGCTTCTGGCCATGGTACAAAATCCCATTGAAAATTAATTTTTTCAGCAAAGGCGATATATATTCTAAAAGAAAACTACAGACTATCCCACTATGCAGAAAACTGCAAATATTGATTAGTTTAGCTTTCTGAGAGGATTCCTTTTGAGGAAAAATATTTTTATTTCCAAATATTCAAACCAACGTTCATTTCTGACAATAATGAAGAGAATTATAAAATATCGTTAATTGAGTAAATTTTCGATCTGTTTATTCTATTGCTTCGATTTCATCTATAAAATGTAAAAAACGAACAATAATTAAAAGATAATCGGTAGGTAACATTCTTACCTCTTTCTGTACTTTGAACTTCACTAAAGACAGGTACTCCCAAATATCTAGTATATAAAGACGAAAAATTAAAAATAAAAACACAATAAATTTAATTTAACACCACTTACCGTGCATATCCATCTCCATAGTAGACAAAAAGTTCTTCACCAGGAAAAATCGTTCGAATTGTTTTATAAAACATGTTACGATCATATTGTACTGGCTGCAAATTTTGTGCTTCCGGTAAATTGGGGCAGTTAACATATCTCATCCAGTTGGAAGTGCTAGTTTCATACGCATCAATGAGATAAACCATTTCGCCAAGTTTATCGACAATCTTACATTTAATAAATATAAAAGTATATCATTGAGGAGTAGTAATCACGTTTCTCACTAGATATGTGATACTTACTGACCAAGCGTAGCCCGATTGTTGTGCCGTTTTAAAATTAGAATGTCTCACACCCAAATATGGTCCAAAGTAGGTATTTTTTTCAAATTTTTTTGATGCAAAAACACCCTTGCCCGCTTCAGGTATAGTTGAATGACGTATAAAAATTCCATCAGGACACGATAGTTCGGCTCGACGATGATTATTTTTCAATAATGATTTTGAAATCTTGAAACAGAAACATGCCGATAATAGTATTAAATATTTCACAAAATAATGTCAACCTGTTTGTCTAGAATATAGGGTTGTCTATGAATCGAACATATATTCTCGTAATACTTTTCGCAATTATCACAGTCTACAACGAGTGAGTAAAACAAAATGAGAGATTAACAATTCTACAATAGATCGCAATTCTACTTACATAGCTTAGCATCATCAAATTCCGTTTTTTTCTCAATATTACTCGTTCGGTGTTTTTTTCCACCATTCACCGAACGTCTCTCATCCGAACTATGTATACTATGTAACTCTATTTCATTGACAGGTTTACGTTTTTTATGTTCTTGATTACTACATGCGGTAGAAGGAAAAGAGTTTGTACGTGAATGTCGGCGAGAAGTGGTTCGAGTATTCTGATTGAAACATATTCTTGAATAATGATCGTCTAAAAATATAATTTTAATAAAGTTTATTGTTGCTAAAACACATATCGCTTACTCGAATTATAAACTGTTTCAGCCATGATGTTTTTCTTCAATACCAATTGATTAATGATTATTTACTGGTTAAAAAAACTGAATAAACATAAAATTCGTTAATTAAAACATCAAAAATGTCAAATATTATCGAATTCTTTTCGGCGTAGCAACCACAAACTTCATCTGTTTGGTGGCGCTCATGTTTGTTTTGTGTTAACTATAATCAATATAGCCCCTTCGTGTCCTTCTGTAATTAATCATTTCTTAAAAACATTTCGATAACTGATATACTTTAACCACTTTCTACTCGTTCAATGTCATTATCGACACAGTTTGTATATGGGATTAACAACACGTAGAATAAAATTTAGAAACAATTGATTCGACAAGATTTTGAACATCGTCTCAATACTTTGACCTTGGGAATAGATATCTAAAATGAAACTCGATATTCTGTATGTACAAGAAAAATTAGTTGACCATGATATTAGTATCGATAAATCTCGAACTTTTATTCGAGAAATACGAAGATAAAGTGCGATGATATGAGGTAAAATGACACCCAAATTATGTTAATTTTGAACAGAAGGGCTTAGATTTATTTAATAATTTTATATGAATAAGATAGTATGCAATATAGCATCTTCAATTAACTAATGGTGACGATAATGAGAAGAAAGGAGAATCGCCGATCATTCAAAATATTAATATTATGAGTAGACACATAAAAGCATAAAATATCAACAATGAATGAACAGTGATCAAAAGTTCTTGATAATAATTGATGATTGGAAAGTTTTGCATTAAATATCGATAGTCACTTCTCTTCTCCATGCTCCCAATATTTTGGAGACTTTGCTTTTTCTTTGTTTGTAAGAGCTAAGTCTGAACTACAAAAAGTGCATTAAGGGCCCCCCCTCAGAAATGGTGGTTTTCGGTCAAAAAATCGGTTTTGAGATACGCACATGAAAAGATAGCCTGAAGTGTCTACTTCCAGAATCTGTATTGCTTTTGGTTACAAAAGTGGTTTTTCCGGGATTTTGAGCAAGTTTTCTAAG